ACGTGCATGCGGTAGAGTCCAAGCCCGCTTCTTCATATCTCTTCAGCTAGTTTGTTACTTATCTATACACAAGACGCACCAAAACTTTGTGGAGTTATTCGTGAAACTTTCAAAATGCCGCAAAGAAAAATAAAACAAATGAATATTTGAATATTAAAGAAAAATCGCGTATTATATTTTTCCAATAATTCCCTATCGATTTGTTTGTACTTGCACGATACACATTAAACATCACCGGTTGTTACGACTATCGGTTTTTACGACTGAATATGAGCAGTCCCTTCGATGTCGTTATAACAGATTTTGACTGTATTAGCATTGTGCACTTCTTCTCTATATTCTCTATAAGTGTGGGAAATTTCATACTCCTCCGTCCGCGCAATTTTCGTAAAAAGGGATACAAAGTTTTTGCTTCACGTATTAATATATAGTTAACAAACTTAGTTCATATGACATGAATACAAAAATTATAGAACAAATGTGAAGCGCAGTGTTTATTTCAAGTGTGTATGTACTTTATAATGTGCTGTCTCGTTGAAATTTTGGAAATATTCCAGGTTCAGCAGTCGTATGAAAATGTGGAAGCACACATAATATATTGGCTGTTCTGTCTTCATTGTACTTCCGTTAACGAGTGGCTGAGACTTAAGTTCGGAAAAAGGTGGTATTTTAAAGTTTAATGAAATGATATAAATGATAAAGTGTACGCTCACGGGTCTAAAGAAGCTGCTCAAGTGGTCGGAAAGGTACAACGTGGTCATCAATGGTTTGGTGAGGCGTGTCTTATCAAGGAGCCACAGGACTACATTTTTGTGAAAAAGGAGTGAAAACTTCAGCCAAATTGTGTCAAGATACAGTCTTGGATCATGTTGTGAAACCTCTCAGCAATACACTTTTAAAAATATACCGTGGACTTTCCAGCAAGACTCTGCACCTGGTCACAAGGCACGAACTACCCAAGCATGGCTTGAAACCAACATTCCGGACTTGATAAGAGCTGAAGACTGGCCTTCATCTAGCCTAGACCTCAACCTTTTAGACTTCAAATTATGGTCAGTTTTAGAGGACATGGCCTGCTCTAAACGACATGATGACATTGAATCTCTTAAAAAATCTTTACAGCAAGCAGTGGCAAAATTTCCCTTGGAAACAGTGCGTAAATCCATAGATTCGTGGCCAAACAGATTAAAGACCTGTATAAAAAAAGCTAAAGGTGGCATTTCGAATAGAGTATTTTTTCATTTTTTGCTGAGACTTTAATAAATATGTAGATATAAATCTTAGTAATATTACATTACTTCATTTTAAAAAAATGCACTTTCATTTAGCACAGAACTTACGCGGGACCAGGTAAAATAAGCCGTTTGTTAGAAAAGTTACCTATTATGCAAACACGCTTGAGATTGCAAACGAAACGCAAGTAACAGAAATGTAAATTTTCTTCAAAGAAAAGTAAAAATAACGCAAACCGTATCGTGTTTGAACCGAAACATAAAACTTTATAAATAAACGAACACCAATTTCTATCTCCCTGTACGTCCGCTCGCCTTGACTGCGTTAAATGAAGTGAACGAAGCTCGCTCCGGTAATGGCCGCCACAATGCTAATCAGACATTAAGACACTAACCGACCTCGGCGCTTCTTTTTTTTACGGATTACTTGACTTAAGGCACTGTTTGACTGAGACGTTCTTTTTTAACCAACTTCAAAGGAAGTATCTAGTTCTGAATTTAGGGCCGTATCTATATCTCTTTCTGGATATTTACAACGCAAAGTACAATGCATTTGGCGATGTAATAGTACCCAAATTTCTGAGAACTGAAATATTATTCTGATGCTTACTGTTACTGTATAAAGTCTTGTGAATTCAATTTTGAAACAACACACAAATATGATGACTACAGTCCGCTTCGTTGGGCATTTAAATTTTAAAAATTATTATTTCTCACCCCCACAAAGATTCTTATCATTAACGCCCCCGCAACTGGTGTATGGAGTCTAACACTCATATAAATATTAGCCTATCCATTAAGTACACGTATTTTCTACATGGATACCATGTTTCAAGTCAATCGGATGCATGATTCAGTAGTTATAACGGAATATCCGTAAAAACCACTGTATTTTATATATTAGTATAGATTTACTACTACTTCTACTAATATTATACGAATACTTTACAGATTTCGTGGTCGCGGACAACTAAGATGTTATTCTTCGACATTTGAATGTTGTGCTACAAACGTCGTATTTCATATTCCAAATGTCAGAAATAGTGTAATGACAATGAATTATAAGCGCGATATTAAACTGCAAATGTAAATAATAGCTTTATAGTCCATAATTCGCGAAAATTAAAGCAAATTATTAGAGAGTTTATTGTAGATATAAAAAAAAAAAAGAAAACTACCTATTGCTAGTAACCTCAAGTTAGCTTCACTGAACGTGTAGACGGTTTGGCCTGGTGTCCGTGTTTTGGACGATGGTGATGGTTTTTCGTTTGGTCGCCTGGATCGGGTATGTAGTTATCGGCGGTTACGATAGGTGTTATCGTGTCGCGCCGCTTTTTCAAAATAGCATTCCGACGCTGTCTTCCGATACTTACTCACTTATCGGCTCTAATTTAAGGCCGGCGTGAGAAAAAAAAAACTAAAAACGCAACAGAGCAACAAGGCTTTATCGGCGTGCCCCAACATTAGCATGTCGCCGCCATATTCATTGCTTAAACATGGCGTCCTGGGACGCACAACAATAAAAATACAACTTGTAGTTTCCCACTTGACAGAATTAACATTGTTTTTATGTCACTTAATAAATTGTTTTAAGATATTTCGTTCGTGAGTTAGGTTTTATTAATTTTGTAGTGGCATTTCTAACCAAGTTATTTTTAATAATTTATGTAAGAGTGAATGTTTAGTAAATAGTAGACGGTAATGTGAGGAGGGCGCTCTAAAGACTTGGATGGACTCTGCAAACACAGCCCACTGAGTTTCTCGCCGAATCTTCTCAGTGAGTCGTGTTTCCGATCCGATGGTAGATTCTGCGAAGCACTACTCTTGCTAGAGCTAGTGTTAGCGACGATATCAGGTTTGAGCCCCGTGAGCTCATCTACTAGCTCGGTGAATCTAGAACATCCCCTCGAATTTACTAGAAAACAAAAATCCATAGACAAGTGAGGTGGCCTGAATAGTTTTACGTCTATCGCACTTTTCGGACTGAAATGCTTGAATGCTTCTCAGCAAAAATAAGATTCTTAGTTATATACTGTTGTTACCATAAGATGCCCGCCAAATAAAGCTTTCTGTTATATTTTTACTCTGCTTTAAATAAACAAACAAAGACAATGGATTAGCCTGGAAACGAATGTCTAAAGACAGACATAAATATTAATTGATATAGGTTAATTAGTTAAAACCGTGTCATAAATATTTGATTTCAGTCAAGAAATGAAGTAAATATTTACAAAAACGGTACGTTTCTTGTTTGCTTTAAATTTCGATAAAAAAACAAAATGTTTCGCGGTTTCCGTAATAGTTCAATAAAATGCTGTGAATAAACAAGTAATATGTTTAATCACTCGCGGCAGGGAAAACAAAATGGAGATGTGGACAACAGCAGCGGGTGCAGGCCTCGATTTATTACGAGAGGTTGTACATTTGAGGTTCGCAGTATTGGTCCAGCTGCCGATTGAATCTCGAAAGCAATATGAGACAGTATGAAGCTATGATGAGGCAAGGCGACGAAACCGCTGTGTAGTGGCTGTGTGGAAAGGAGCGGGTAGAGCTAAAGGCACAGACAACTTAATGTATAATGCCAAGACCGAAGAGGGTCGACTAAATTTAACGGGACAAGGCATGGTAGAAGAATTACTAATAGGCCTTAATATGACCATTAGCGTGTTAGGGCCACCTCTTCGAGCCCATCGGGTGTTCCAATTTAAAGGATGTGTTTATGCAAAACAATATTAAGGCGGTATGGCTTCAGTGCCCTTTGTCTCGCGTGTAGCAGTGAGAATTAAGAAAAAATTAGTTTTCATTCGGAGCAACTAAAGCGCATGCTGCGCGTTTGTATTAAAGTCTCAAATTGAAATTTAATGTAATAATTTGGATTTCTCAATAAATAATTCTTTAATAGGATGGGATAACCGATATGCAATTTGATGCGATGTTCACTTTGTCCCGATCACATGCTCTGGTAACCACTAAAGCCAATTGCAATGAAAAAATGGATTAGGGTATTTCGAGTCCTAACGCAACTAAGCCTTCAGTATTGCGCCTTTCCCTCCTCCCGCCCTTGCAGGTACACATAAATCAAACATACTTGTTTACTCTACCATTAATTTTGAATGAATCGATACCATTGCAAAGCCGATATGATTTATTCGTATAATATTTAAATCATTCGAAGTGAACGTTAAAATCGATTTCATCCTTAAAGAAAACATCATTCGATTTAACTGATCGTAAAAAATGTAAGCCCTAGTTTAAAATCCGATGGGTCCTCTCAAGCCGACATCCAACGGTCTTACTGTAGTGAACATAGAGGTTATGTATATTCGATTCAATATCCAGATTCGTGAACAATCTCTAACGTTTGTTTGAGCGTAGATGAAACGAGAATATAATAAAGAAAAAATAACGAAAAAACGGGTCGCGGACTATAAACATGGATCTAACAATATTATTACCATGTCAAACGAGAATGAACTGCCTTGATGGAAGTTTGCTTTTATGTGACGGTTCAGCTTAAATTGGATATCGTGCATAGTTTGGCATAGCATTATTGTCGGTTGTTTACCCTAATGTTCCGAGGTTGCAACAACAGTGTTACATGATTTCTTCACCTGCTTCGTTCGATTAAGAATTAATGTAATATGTTTCACTACCAGAATAAGAGATAATAACAATAAAATCGAGATAGTAAAGTGAATTTCAGTGATGGTGAAGCTGTCTATTAAGTTTCTGAGCAATTTCTTAATTAAAACAACGAATGGGACTCACCTGAAAAAAAAGACAGAAGCAGACCCATTGGTAGTACTTGTAGACTTTCCTGTCGCTCATATCTTCCTTGCCCTTCTCCCTGCTGTTCCCTATCCCAGGGTACGGCACCTCGACGCCCACCGTCTTCTCGAAGTAGCTCTTGAGGGTGTATGTCGAATGTATCCAGCAGTACGTGTTCAGAACGTCCTCTGGGATGTCCTTGGTGTGGATACAGTCTATGGGGTTCCCGACGTACTGGCGCGTGGTCACAATGAGACTGAACGATATCAGCAGGATGACCGTGATCGAGTAATGCAACCGGAATACAGGCGAGTCGATATGCACATAGTTCACCTTAATTAGATTCTTCAAACCGCGGAATACGTCTAACATTTTAACTTGACACTATAGTCCGTTCGTCCCATTTGTATTACTAACATTATTTTTATTGTTTCTCGAGCACCATACAATGTAAATGATTATAGTTAAGGCACAGCACGGCACTTCCCGCGTTCACTCCTCAGATTAGTTTAGTTTTTTTGGTATTTTTATGAATTTTAACAGCGCACACGCTTGGCTCATATTTTCTGCGTTTCATTTCTTTGTTTATTTCATTCACCATTCAGTCGACGATCTGAGTCTCGTTCGACCAGATTGTTGTAAACTTGACCGGTTTTATAAATAAATTTAACGTTTCAGGCTAATTGTTTGTTTTTTTTTTTGCATTTCAGTTCAATGTTGCGTCGATTTGAAACCGGAGCACCAGATCAGTATCAATGTCACAATGCTGTTTTTGTCTCATTGCTTGGGGCTATCGATTGAAGATGCGTTTGAGTCATAAATATATTTCTCTTATAACGTATTGCTACGCCGGTAAGAGTAACGCCATCTGTCGTCAAAAAGCAGAAACGAATATCAAAAGAACTAGTAATATCAAGAACGCCCGAAAAGTGTAACGCCATCTATTATCAAATAGCGGAAACACATATCGAAATGACTCGCCCTATCGGGAATTTTCTCGGTAGCTGAGGACTTGTCGTGTCGACTATAAAAGCGTTTTAGAGATGACATGAGGCAGTTATTAATCGGATCTACTCGAAGAAAAAACAGCGAACGGATCACCTGAAGCGAAGTAAAAGAAATTAATTGCGAACTGTGTGAACTGTGCAAAGTGTTCCTTAAGTGTTCGAAGTGTTAAATAGAGCTTAATTTGTAGTTCGATGAAAGTTTTATTTATTTATTAACAGTGTTAAGGGATTGTTATGATTTTTTTTTTTTTTATTGCTTAGATGCGTGGACGAGCTCACAGCCCACCTGATGTTAAGTGGTTACTGGAGCCCATAGACATCTACAACGTAAATGCGCCACCCACCTTGAGATATAAGTTCTAAGGTCTCAATTATAGTTACAACGGCTGCCCCACCCTTCAAACCGAAACGCATTACTGCTTCACGGCAGAAATAGGCAGGGTGGTGGTACCTACCCGTGCGGACTCACAAGAGGTCCTACCACCAGTATGATGACCTCGTCGCTATTTTTCCATACTGTCAGACTAGAGTTTATTTCTACTACCGCTACTTATTTTGTCGTTGTGTTGCGTACTGTCTCATAACTTGCCTAACGTACCCAAGAAATAGTAATTTTCGTTAATGCAAATCTAATGATTATATTTTTTATCAATTATTTATTTTGTTTCACACTATCTCTGCCTTAATGTTAAAAAAAGCTGTTTGTTAAAATCGTCTCTCTTTTTAATTATTAGTATTTTTTCATAGAGTAAATCGATATTTTCGCGAAGAGAATGTCAATCACTATAATTTACTAATATCGAATACTGGGAAAGGGAGATTATTGATTTACAAAAAAGGAATGCTCTTAATCGCTTGAAGCCATCTCTTTCAGATAAAAATCAAGGGACAATAAAAAGGCAGATTGCCATAGTCTACTAAATAAGTGTAATAACTGGCTCTGACGTCACAAGTATCTGATCATCTCGATATAAAATCGAAGAAGTCTCCCGGATTTCATCGCGTGACGTCACTGGTTTGGGCCGTAAAATAAAATTTGGACAAAGCGCGACCCTGGTTGCCGCGCTAAATCACAACCGAAACAATAAGAACTAAAAATATATTTATACATATATTTTTTTTCAAAGAAACTCTTTAATGTTTTGTAAATAGTATTTGTGTTGTTTGTTTAAAACACAATTCTGTCAGAGCAGCGTTCATCATCATCTTCTGTGTGGACGTTCAAAGAAAATGCTATGTGGGGTTTTTGTGAAGGATACGATTTGTATAATAAATTTGTTAAGCATGAAAGTATGAAATATTTTATAGATACAGACAATTTTCGACTGATTTCAAGGTAAATAATATTATAAACTTTTATTTACTTTTTGAAGTCGTCGTGGCCTAAAGGATAAGACGTCCGTTGCATTCGTGTTGAGCGATGCACCGGTGTTCGAATCTCAGGCGGGTACCAATTTTTCTAATTAAATACGTACTCAACAAATGCTCACGATTGGCTTTAACGGTGAAGGAATAACATCGGAAGGAATAACAATAAATAAAACTAGTTTTTTTTTATTGCTTAGATGGGTGGACGACCTCACAGCCCACCTGGTGTTAAGTGGTTACCGGAGCCCATAGACATCTACAAAGTAAATGCGCCACCCCTCTTGAGATATAAGTTCTAAGATCTCAGTATAGCTACAACGGCTGCCCCACCCTTCAAACCGAAACACATTACTGCTTCACGGCAGAAATATATCCCTATATGCCTATATCCCTATGTATGCTTAAATCTTTAAAACTACGAAACGGATTTTGATGCGGTTTTTTTTAATAGATAGAGTGATTGAAGAGGAAGATTTATATGTATAATAACAATCATTAAATAGTGGAAAAATCAATAATAAATTACAGTTTCCAATGCGAAGCGGGGGCGGGTCGCTAGTAAACAATAAGACGCACCTATGATTGAAAAACAGTATAACACTGTTCTTAGCACTATCTTTGGTAGCCCTACTCACAGTATTGTCATGTTAGTTACAAGACTTATTCATAAACTAATCTATTTGTTTTTATAAATTAAGAACAGTTGTAAGAGATGGTCACCCTTAATGATGATTTTCGCGATTTGAAATATCATTTTTCTCCGTTTATTTTTAAATTTGGAGACACGAATATTTATGATAAACTGGTGGCTAATTTGTTTGACATCTAACGTATTAAGGTTATTTATTGTTTTCACTTCGTCAAACTTCACGCGGTTCGCATTCACATCAAAAGTTTCTCAATTATCAATAAAACTATTTCTTCATCCTGTTTTCGTTATGAAGTGGCATTTCTACTTTGTCAAATATTGTATTATATGAGATAATGCGTTGTTTCATCTTTTAACTGGGTTACGAGGTGTTTTGTATACATTTTACGACTATTATTTTGATAATAATAACATGTAGTTCTTTTGATGTCGGAGCCGGCGAAGAATTTTTTTTTCTTTGCAAATATTTTTGCTTTATGTTCATTTAGCGTTAAAAGATATTTTATTTGGCAGAAACAGATAAAAATTTCGTTTCTAGTTTTCTGTGGGATACATAGGTGACATTGTTTATGTTGTACTTTTAAGGTTATGAATGAAAATTTCCGTTTCACGCATTGATTATTTTCTACAATAATAAAGATATTGTGCATTTATATTTCGACTTTACGTTGGTCAATTAATGTGCTTGTTTATTTTAACTTAATTGTTTCTCTTACACGCAGCCTCGGCAAGCAATTGTTTTAGTGACAATCAAATTAGCCCGCGAAACTTGTTGACGCGATTCAAACACATTTTACCTTCTGGACAGGAAGGGATTTTATGACCTGGTAACTAAGACCTTTAAGTCATGTCTTATTTTAATTACTTTCTTATTTTTATGATAAATGATGAAATGAAACGAAGATGATAAATTTGAGACATTAACCAACTGGGATGAAATCAAATGAAATGAGATGAGATGATATGGGATGAAATATAATCTCAGTAAAATGGTGGTCATTTACTAAGATTTTTTCAGGGGACTTTTTGGAGGATCCCGAGAATTTACGTCCAGCGGCTTTGTTTCGTTTTCCCACATTTGTGCACTTTCACAGATATTAAACAGTTAATAAACCACCATTATTACACATTTAAACCCGAAGAAACACTAAATAGACAAAATAAAACAAATCACACAACTTCACTCCTCGCGTTCCCGCCAAAAAGTCCATTTTACCTTATTTCACCACCTGGTCCACAGATGGCACTACGCAAAGCAAAGTTCCTAATTCAAAAATACAACATCAGCCCCGTTAAATAAAAATAAAAACTAATTACTGAATAATTTATGAATTCATTAAAACCTCTCACATCGGCACACGTTTCCTATTAATAAAATTTATTGACGTCAAAATCGATTCCCATAAAACGATATTACGGTAATAAAGTAACGGCTCGTTATGATTATTTATTCACTATTTTAATTGATATATTAAAAACGAATTGATTAATTATTATATTATACTATAATAATATGTCTTCATAATTTGAAAAGTATCTAAAAAAATACGGTGTGTGACAAACTCGTGCTTGGCTTTGCTCACGTCAATGTTTAACTTGTCTTGTCGGATCCCCCGGATCCATTCTCGGTGCTATTAGAGTCTTCAAGAACCGTTCATCGTCCTTGTCGAACTCGTCAACTCCGGCGAAGAGTTCGACGTGTCAACTAGCCCATAGACACAACCCACTTTCTTGCCGGATCTTTTCAGTGGGTCGCGATTCCGATCCGATAATAGATTCAGCGAAGCACTGCTTTTGCTAGGGCTAGTGTCAGTAATTCTCTCAGGTTGAGCCCGTGAGGTCACCTATCAGCCCTCGCGAAGTTCGAATAGCAACTTAGGCTACGAACAATTAGGTAAGGAAAAAAGTCATTGTCCGATGGTGACCATCGTCGGATAGAAAGATGCGGACATGCCTTCGCAAGCGATAAAAAACCGGCAGAAAGATACAGAGGAAAACAGCAGTTATACCGGTGAAGAACTGATGAGTCGGTGAGGTAAATAAAAAATCAAACCCGCAAAAAATGTAATTTGCATAATTATTTGTGCTCTGGCGTCTCGTGAGCTCTAGTGGTGGACCACCAGCCTGCCTGTTTCAGTTACTTACTTATTTAAATTCAGTTATTTTTACAGGTGGTAGAACCTCTTGTGAGTCCCCACGGATGAGTACCACCAGCATGCCTATTTCTGCCGTGAAGCAGTAATGCGTTTCGGTTTAAAGGGTGAGGCAGCTGTTGTAACTATACTTGAGGCCTTAGAACTTATATCTCAAGGTGAGTGGAAATATTTATGTTGTAGATGCCTAGGGGCTCCGGTGGCCACTTAACATCAGGTGGACCGTGAGCTCGTCCACCCACCTAATCAATTTAAAAAAAAAGTTATATAAATTATACACTAATCGGTGAGAAGAAAAACTTCCTTAAAATTCATGTAATTCATTCACTATTTTACTATTTTGATATTGTCTGTCCATCCGTGTAATGTATGCGCCCTTGACAAGCTTCCGATCATTAGGCCGAATTAACGACAACCCATAAAACATGACGGAGGGGATATTAAAAAAATAAATTACATTCAACGGAAGGAACTTTGAACACGTTCGCATATCTTATGGAACCAAAAAAAACCGATCTAACTATTTTATGAATATTATGAAAATCTGATGATTTATCTGATGGGATTAATAACTTTCTTTTGAAGTTTCATGATAGACTGCATAGGTTCGTCG